CACCCATCCTCCTATCCATCTACCCTTCCATCCATCCATCCACCCACCTATCTACCTATCCACCCACCCATCCGCCTATCCACCCATCATTCATCCATCTACCCATCCACTCACCCATCATCCATCCATCCACCCACCTACCTATCCACCCATCCACCCTTCCACCCACCCTCCCATCCATCCACCCTTCCATCCATCCATCCACGCACTATCTACCTATCCACCCACCCATCCGCCTATCCAGCCATCATCCATCCATCCATCCATCCATCTATCCATCTATCCTCCCATCCACCCACTTATCCACCCATCATTCATCCATCTACCCACCCACCTATCCACTCATCCACCCTTCCACCCATCCTCCCATCCATCCACCCATCCACCCTTCCATCCATCCATCCACCCATCCACCAATCCATCCATCCATCCATCCATCCATCCATCCATCCATCCATCCATCCATCCATCCACCAATCCATCCATCCATCCATCCATCCATCCACCCATCCACCAATCCATCCATCCATCCATCCATCCATCCATCCATCCATCCATCCATCCATCCAAAGTGAATGGGCTTCTTGGCTCCTGTGTTAGAGGGGCCATATTAGAGGCAGGTACTCAATACAGTCCAGTGGGGAATCAACAGAATAAGTGGTTTTCCTAGAAGGAGACAGAGTTAGAAAAACCTTCACAAAAGGCTTTGTGATCTTTTGGCATCTTCTTGAAAAGGGAGATGGCAAGAGTGGTTCATGAATATTTAGAACTCTCTGGAAACGTCTTTGGGACCTGGAGCGGTGGTATCTTTTCTCTTTTGATCCTGCCTGTGCTCGCATCACTCATCACACCCCACCCATCAAGGCAGCCTCACGTCTCCCTTTACTCACCTTGTCAGGTTCCCCTTCCTCATTCACAATGTGTCATGGGAACGTGAGAAATAACAGACGCAGCAAACAGTATGGAAGCATATTAATAAATCATTTTAAAGTATTAAAATTGATATTGGGCTTTTCTGCAATATTTTATCTTTTATAATTTATTAAGCATGTTATTTGTCACCTGGTTAAGCAAGAACAACCAATATTTCATTGGGGGATCCGATTTCTCAACGTGGGATGGAAGGGGTGGAGTCCTTCCCATGGAGAGTGACAGGATGCCAGCCTGAATGTCAGCTGGCAGCTTGACCTTGTGGTGTCTTAGTTTGTTTATGGATTATGATGACAGCCCAAAGCCCTCTGAATACCCAGGACAGGCAGAGGTATGAAAGGTATGAAGAGTGCACATACTTTCTCTCCTTCATGTGTCTCCCTTCTCCTGCGGCATGTGTCTCTCTTCTCCTGGGGCAAGATGGGGGGTGGGTGATTCCCACTGATGCTGTCCAGTCTCTCCTGCACTTGCCGTCACTCACTGAGTAGCGGTGGAGTCCTCCGATATGCCAGGCATGGTTGGTAGCAATAAGCACACATCATTAAACAAAACAAACCATGGTCCCGGCCCTTGTGGGGCTTATCTGCTAGTGGGAGGAGATAGATAATAAAAAATAAGCACATGGAATCTGCAAATGTGATAGTAGATTAGCAGGTGGTAAGTGCTGTGTGTTAGCTAGAGCTGCTATACAAATGACCATAGCCTGGGAGGCTTAAACAACAGACCTCTATTTCTCACAGTCTGGAAGCTGGGAAGTGCAAGATCAAGGCTTGGCAGAGCTCGTGTCTGGTGAGGACTGCTTCCTGCTTTGCAGATGCCTGTCTTCTCCCTGAGTCCTCATGTGGGAGAGAGGGGAAGGGTTCGAGGGAGGGAGAGAAAAAGAGAGAGACAGAGAGAGGGGGCAAGCTCTCTCTTGTCTCTTCCTATAAGGGCACTAATTTCATTCATGAGGGCCCCACCCTCATGACCTGATCACCTCCCAACGGCCCCACCTTTTAATACTCTCACTTTAGGAGTTAGGGCTTCAACACAAGAAGACTAAAAAGACAAAATGTTCGGTCCATACCATGCTATATAGTACCAAGGATAAAAAAGAAAGCAGCAGAGAGTGTGGGGTGGGCTGACCGGTAGCCCTGTGGTAAGCAGCAATGCTATTTGCTACCTTGTTTCTGCGTTTTCCTTGCTGAACGGCATTTGGATCTCAAAGAATTGGAGCCATGTATATTGTCCCACGTTCACAGATCCATGAGGTGTCTCTCAGAAAGGAAAACACCATCGAGGGTCGACTTGTCCTGGCCTGTGACACCCCCTTCTTCCACTGCTCACCTGTTGCCTGTGCCGCCAAGGACTGTGCTGGCTCCTGGGACCTTCCCTCCCATTTTTCCATGAGGAAGAGCCGGGTATAGGTTGGAGAACAGTCCATAGGTGGGGCTGCAGCGCTGTCCCCTCTTTCCAGAGAATGTCAGGGAAAGCCAGTGGACCGGAAGTTGGTGACGTCTGGCAGTTGCTGACCACATCTAGCAAACGGAGGAATAAAGCCGCTCGGCAGCACGGATGGCAAATGGCTGCGTCTGGACAGCTGTGTGGCTGTCAGCCATTTCCTCTTCAAATTGGTGCCGCCCACTCCTCAATGCCTGGCTTGGGGTTATCTCTGGACAAGCATGTCAAACCAGGAGCTTCATTCCTGGAAGCTGCGGTGAACTTCTGGAGTGAACGAGTGTGTGGATGTCGGCCTCCCAGAGCTCCTGTTTAGCTGATTCTATGGGCACGGGTCTCTGATCTGAAGCATCTCACCGACTGCATCTATGAGTCAGGCTGTGCTTCTAGTTTCTGGTCATAGGGCACCTCAGAGATGGAAAACTAGGCAGAACCTGGACACCCCACCTTTGTAAGCCAGCAGAGCCACTTAAGGCAGAGCTTTGGGGGTATGGGGTGGTTAGGAATAAGTGAATGAAAGAAGGAAGGAGTTTATAGTTAGCATGCAGAAACGTACACAGTCTTGGTGTTTATTAGATTTATCACAGTCTTAGGAGGAAGATCTGGCTTCTCTGGTGGAAGTGTGTCAGTCACACAAATGGCATCTACCACGTGTCTTGAAGTCGGGGAGGAATTGAGCCCATTCACTTAGGAGGTGAAATGGGATAGCAAGGGCTGGATGTTTTAGAGACAGCTCAGTCTTTACCAAAGGTGCCTTGTCCTAAGAATCTTTTAGGGAACTTGATACAAGTGTTCATTCTTGGGCTGTGCACCCCCAAACTAATCAACCAGCCCTCCAGGGGAGGAGCCTGGGAATTTGCCTCTTGAACCAGCACTCCAGTGATTCTTACGAGAGGGAGCATGTGGCTCTCCACAGGGCGCACATTAGAATTAATCAAGGAGCCCTTGATAATTGCTGGTACCCTGGCCTCATCTTGGAGAGTCAGTTGTATTTCATCTGGTTGGGGGCTGCGTGTTGCAAGTTCTAAAAGCTCCAAGGTGTTCTTATGCGCAGGTAGGGGAGGCTCCTGTGCACACTAGACAGTTCAGGCTTCTGCGTAGAAGATGCAGGAGGAATCTCTTCCTTGCTCGCTCACTGTTTGCCTCTGGGTGGGTGACTTCTGCTCGCGGAGCCTCACTGCATGAAGAGGAGGTAGTGGCCCCGTGTGGTCCGGTTGAGGGTCCTCTGGAAGAGTTAATGAGCCCCTGGGTGTGAGCACCCTCTTCCACTGACCCCAGCTTTGTGGAGTAAGCCGCCAGCCCTACAGCACCCTTTGAGACTGTTTCTGCTCCTCTCCAGCCATTCTTTCTTCTGGGGTCTGTGCCTGTCTGGATGACAGATGCAAAGGGCGCAAGAGTCTGGGACAGGCAGGGACCCAGGCAGGTTCTGACTGCTGCTGTGTGTCAGGTAATGAGGAGGGAGGGCTCTGGGCAGGCAGCCGCTTCCACGCCGCCTTGTCCACCTCCACATTCTCCTGACTTATTACATTGTAATAAATTGAACCATTCCACTTCATTATTTCATATATGAGGAGATTTATAGATTGTCCTGGTGGCTGAAGAGGCAGTGATTAAGGAAGCAGCGTGCTAATGAATAAGGCTGGGCACAAAGCCGTTTTAATTAATGCACAGCCCAGGGGCTGTAAACCGCTTGCTGATAACAAACCTGCCCATGGAAGAGTTGAACTGACAACGTCCTACAGAATAAAGGCTGATGGTGACACGGGGGAGTCATTCAAGTGACAACTAAGGCTGCTGACCTCAGTCTCTCTCCCTACACGTGGGCTCACTATGGCAGAGCCACCCAACACATATTTATTTATTTTTTCCTGCAAAATAGTTTCTACTCTCTGGTTCCCTGACACCCCACTGTCCTCCACCTCCCCATGGAGCATCCCAGGGGCTGCGGACATTAGGATCGTACTCGAACTTCCTGAAGGTTTTGTTTGGTCAGATTCACGGAGCAGAGGATGCCTGTTGTTCTTCACAAAGCCCCAGTGATATCATTCTTTTCTCCCAAACTTCTTCCAGAGCTCTGGAGATTTAGTCAAGTCCAGTGTTCTTGAAAAGATTTTTTTTTTTCTCTTTCCTTTTTCACTTTTGGTGGAACAATCCCCGTTGGCGGCGTGGCTTTGGAGGGTTTCATCTTAGCAGCAACTTGGCTGCCGTGGGCCTGGCTTCTCAGTGTGAAGGTGCAGGGTTCTCTGAGCGAGTCCACGCATTCTGCATCCTTGTCACACTGCTCTACACCCTGGGGTTTTCAGTAAAGGCTCTTTCCTGACAAATTAAGTCCAAAGGGTGACGGGAAACACAGTAACCTTTCTCTGTTCTTTTCATGGTTTCCTGCCAGGATTTGCTGTTTGGAGACGTGAGAACGCCGCACTGAGATGACTTTTCAGCCAGCTGATAACTGATGCTTTCGGCCACGACACAGAGCATTATTAGTAGTGCAACCGACTAACATGAAAAATAGTGATTCTCATAACAAAAGGAATGTAGCCACAATAAGAGAAAAATCCTAGCCAACAGAATGATTTGAAGGAAAACGCTATTGATAATGAAATGGGGTTTATTGAATTAACTGTTCCATTTAGCAGACACATGAGCGGAACCCAGGATGGAAGAATGTAATCACCAGCGTGACTCCAGTGATGGAACTGAACTAGATGCAGAGACTGGGGAGCAGCAGAGTCAACTCAGTTATCATCTCGGCGGCCGGGCTGCCGTCCAGCTCACAGAAGCCATCTGATCCGGAAAAGATTTCCGACGCCTGCTGGAGTAAGTTTGGCAATAAGTTGTTATTGCATCTGGCCTCCTACCTACAAAAACTGCCCCGATGGAAAGGTGATACTGTGTGATGAGTTACCCCGTCCTCCTGCGACTGCTCTCTCTGTCATGTTTTCAGAGCAGCCCTCCCAGTCAGGAGAAGCAGTCGCATTCCATCTGGGGACATCTGAGAGGAGATGCAGAAGCCAGCAGCTGATTTTCCTCCCCTGCCCCTTCCCTTGAATAAACTCACTTGGTGCATGCTGGCCCTGACTCCTGGCTGTCCCCTGTGGTGCACGGCTGGGTCCTGGTGGCTTCTCTGTGGCTGCAAGTCCCCCCCGGGTCTATGATGTCTCTGGGCACCCCTCTACTCTTGCTCTCTGAGCTGTGTCTTTCCTGCTAGCGCTGTCTCCATTCTCCTCTCACACACACAGTCTTTTCTCCCCCACAGAAGGCAGCTGCAATATTTGCCTAAAAACTGGAAGCTTTAAAAAATTCCAGGAGGCTGAGGCAGGAGAATCGCTTGAAGCCAGGAGGTGGAGGTTGCAGTGAGCCAAGATCGCGCCACTGCACTCCAGCCTGGGTGGCAGAGTGAGACTCAGTCTCAAAAAAAAAAAAAAAAAATTCCAGAAAAGTGTGGGTGGGTTGGGGAATTAATGTCTTAATGTAATATATTAAGAACAGATTAATCCAGAAATAACAGCAATAGTGCATTTTCTCCTAACCTTTCATGAACGATTCCCATATTATTTAAGTTACCTGCTTTTTTATGTTACCTCCCTCTGAGACTTGGAAAAATTGAGGCACCTAGGAGGTTTGTGACTGAGCCAGGATTAGTGGTACAGTAGAGGCAAGACAAAAAACGGTGAGACTGTAAGTAGGAGCTCGCTCATGAGAGACCTGTTGCCTTGGTGAGCTATACGCTACTTACCTCTGATTTTCAGCGAGCAGTTCTGAGCGATCACTGGGCATTTTATGACTAAGATGGGGAGGAGCCTGAGGCCGAGAGCTTGGGCAGGAGGATGACCGGCAGAATTTTGTAATTTTCATGTAATTATACTACGTCCCACTTTCTGCAATATCCCCAGACTGCCGGTTGCCTGTCAGATATATTTTAGAAATGAAATTGAGGAGGAGAGTGCATTTGGGAAATAATAGAACTCAGTTCTAAGTAACATATTAAGCTTAATTTTTAATGGTGGAGAATCTTACGGACACACCATCTGTAAATGTGGAAGATTAAGCAACACAAAACACAGGAATTTTGGCTGGCAAACACGCAGCATGGCGGCCCAGCACGCCACTGAAATCCAGGGAAAAGGGCTTCTTAACCCACGCTTACCTACAAAACCTACTCTGGCTCAAGTATAATGAAAGGCCTGGCCGGGAAGGAGGACACCAAAAGAAACTGGAATCCAGCAGGAGGACTAAATAGGGACAGCTGTTTTTCTCCTTTGCCTAAGCAGTGCTGGCTCTAACTGCTGGAAACTAGGAAGAAAGAGGATGGGTTTATTTTCTGGGACCATAGCTGTCTGTGACACCTCCGTGGAGGGAGCAAACCTTCGTAATTGAGGTTTTTAAAGGATATATAGATATTGTTTCTTTGCCCTTAAATTCACTTACACTGATCAGAATGTCAGTAATTTTGGCCATCTCCAGCTGCCATCTCCAGCTGCCTTCTGCTTCCTTGCATTCTTTCTAAGAGTGAACTTACTTAACCTTCCTTTTCCCTTCTTGCCCCTTAGATTATTAGATTATTAAAGGCACCACCACTTCTAGAGGAGGTTCTTGTGTTTAATATGCTTTCCAGCACTTTCTTCTAGTTCCTGTACCATTGAGCTGACCAGAAAAATTGAATCAATACATCTGCTTAAAAAGATATGAAATCCAGTATGTAGAAAGGTCTGTCAAAGGTCAATCAAAAAGGTGTGGCAACCGAGGAATACTATGCAGCCATAACAAAGAATGAAATAATGTCCTTTGCAGCAGCATGGATGCAGCTGGAGGCCATTATCCTAAATGAATTAATGCAGGAGCAGAAAACCAAATATCACATCTTCTGACTTATGTGGGGGAGCTAAACGTTGGGCATGGACATAAAGATAAGAACAGTAGACAATGGAGGCTACTAGAGGGGGCAAGGAAGGACAGAAGAAAGGGCTAAACATCTACCTATCAGGTACTATGTTCACTACCTGGGTGACAATTCAACTGAAGCCCAAACCTCAGTCATGCAATATATCCATGTAAAAACCTGCACATGCACTGTGGGAGGCTGAGGCAGGCAGAAAGCCAGGAGTCTGAGACCAGCCTGGCCAATAGGGCGAAACCCCACCTCTACCAAAAATACAAAAATTAGCTGGATGTGATGGCGGGCCCCTGTAATCCCAGCTACTCAGGAGGCTGAGGCACGAGAATCACTTGAACCCGGGAGGCAGAGGTTGCAGTGAGCCGAGATCATGCCACTGCACTCCGGTCTGGGCGAGAGTGAGACTCTATCTCAAAACAAAACAAAAGCAAAAACAAAAACAAAAAATACCCCTGCACATGTGCCCCTAGAATCTAAAATTTTTAAAAAGGGGTGGCAAACTCAAAGGCCCGAGGGTACTGGCATTTCACATAAGTGAGTGAGATGATGGACATCCAGTGATGCCAAGTGGCTCACACTAAGACCAGGTGTGACACATCCAGCTGTCGTTACCTTTTACAGCACCTTTCCAGGTAAAGCCGAATGACTCCAAAATACCCAGAGGGCTGCCCGTTGTTCCACATGTGGTTGATTTGTGGTGCTGGTGGCTATGTGTGTCCAGACAAGTGCACCTCCCAGCTGCAGAGACCACCTGGCCTCGTGGCCAAGGAAGCTCAGTGGTGACACATTTCCCTGGTGACCCTCATGTCAGATGGATGTCTTTCAATCCCTTCCTCAGCAAGCCATCTCCTATCACTAGCCAATCCTAAAATCTCTTCTTCCTCTGTTTTTCCTTTCCTCATTTTTCTATTTTTTTCCATAGGCTGTTTCCATACAGGCAGAGGCCAGTGTCATCTCCAGCACCTGGGAGACATAAGAGAAAGAGCCAGTGGCCTTCCTCTGAGACAATCTCAAATGAACATGCTTGACCCAGACGAGGGAAGGGTCACACAGACTCTGTCGAGGTATGTGGCAGTTGATAAATCATTTTCAATAAGCTGCTATTCTCTTACTTAAAGCATTCTTCTTTCACTGTAAACAGTTGTTATTTTCTTAGTTGGGTTTAGAAAACATCCTACTATCCCCATCATTGCAACTAGTTCTGATACATTTAGTATCTTAGTCACCTCTCAACTCCATGGACTCCATTTCCTAAGTGCCATGAGACATGTTCCTGGGGAAACACTGTCCCAGGCAGTGATTTGAGAGCAGGAGGACGGAAGCAGGGCCCAGTGGCTCTATAGTCAGGTCAGAGGCCTCAGCTGACCCCACAGGGGGTTCTGGAAGCTGGCTTCATCCTTCAGAGCTGTCCCTGATCGGTGCAACAGGCCAGGCCTTTATTCCGCCTTGCTGATCCCTTAGCAAGGCTGCCTCTCTGGCAGGGGCCTTCCTGGGGAGGGACACAGCAGTGAGGCGGCTGCAGTGCTCCTGGGGGTGGGCTCCTCTGTCTGGGCCTGGGGTCTGGTCTGTGCACCAGGAAGCTTATGTAAGGGGAAGATTCCCACCTCACTTCTCTCTGGTCGAGATACTTTGTTTGTGAAGTCGCACAGGAGGTAAGATTAACTTTTGGCTTTAAGAGTGTGTAACACTGAGACTCCAGCCTGGCTATGATGTATGGATGAAACATCAAGTTCTCTTTCTTTACACCCTCCCTCTTCACCCTTTCTGCTTGTTTTCTGTACAATTCTGTGACAATGTGCATGGTTCTCTCGCCACAAAACCTCTGCTGGCTCGCTGACAGCATTTTGTAGCTGTCTCTAAGTGACATCTAAAGCCTGTTGCAGGGAAGCAGAATGACATGCCGCTGTATTTTGGGGATACATAGAGCATTATCTGAAAGCCTACTCAGAGGAAGAAGTTTACAACACGGGCTTGCCTGTGCTGAGGTTGTTAGCAGGTGCGGGCTCCTTCGTCCCCATGTCCCACTTAGGAAGGTTCACCTGGAAGACCTCCCAGACTGGATTCTCAATCTGTGCTTCACATTTGCCACCTGATTCACCGGTGTCTCTCGTCAGGGGTCTCTCGCAGGTATGGCTGTGGTGGGTCGGCATCCAAGGGCAGGGCAGAGATAAGCCACAGCGCTTCTAGGATCCCACGTAAAAAGAAAACAAAATTCAAAAGATGGTGCTGCGACCTGCGGTGTTGATATTTGCGGGGTGATGGATGAATGTGGCGAGCCAGGCAGTGTAGCCTGATCAGGGTGAAATGGCTGAGCAGAGGAGCAGCGAGTGAATCAATCATGGGACCCGCTCCACCCGCAGCTGGGTTCATCAGCTTCACAGCCTGTCTCTACAGGCTTATAAATTACCCCTGATGGAGGGCTGGCATGTTGGGCCAGGTTGTGGTGACTTCTCCAGCAGAGAGCAATAGGCTGCGGTGAACAGAAGCAACAGAACTTTGATGAACTCCAGTGAGATAGTTGGTGATGCTCTCCTGCTTGCTTTGATAAACCCATGTATTTTGTGCCCAAGCTTAAATCCTCCAGCAAAAAACCAAAGACTTGGACTTAATTTAACATACCTATGTAGTGTACCATAGCACTGGAGAGCGTGGCCTCCTTCAGTCCTGGCCTCACTTGCTAGTTGTATGACCCGGATGGTTTACCTAATTAACATCTTTGTCCCTTGGACTCCTTACTTTTGAAAATGGCAATAATAATACATGGGGCTCCTTCCTTATGAAGCTCTTAGTTTTTCATAGAATTGAATTAGTTAATATTTATAAATCAGCATTAATAATTTTAGCAGTTATTATTATGGGCTTAGATCGTATTGCCTGGTCAACCTCAACTCCACTCAATTTTGGAAGACTAGCTCATCTCTTCCTTTGCTGATAAACAACATCCTGTATGTCACCCTAAATGACATGTAGCCACATCTACTCTTACTTATTCTCTTTTAATCGACAAAATGAAGTGTGTCTTCTGTTCAAGGTCAGCCTTTCTGTCTGCGACTCTTCACCTCCCCTTCCCGGTCTTTCTGTGTTGACTCCATGTCCTACATTGCCAATTACTGTTCTCTCTCTTCATGGTGTTTTGTTTCCTTTCTTTCTTCTTTTTCTTTTTGTGACAGAGTTTCACTCTTGTTGCCCAAGCTGGAGTGCAATGGCACCATCTCAGCTCACCACAACCTCCATCTCCCGTGTTTGAGTGATTCTCCTGCCTTAGCCTCCCGAGTAGCTGGGATTACAGGCATGCGGCACCAAGCCCGGCTAATTTTGTATTTTTAGTAGAAATTGGGTTCCTCCTTGTTGGTCAGGCTGGTCTTGAATTCCCGACCTCAGTTGATCTGCCTGCCTTGGCCTCCCGAAGTGCTGGGATTACAGGCACGAGCCACCGCGCCCAACCTGTTTTGTTTTCTTCCTAATAGTCTCCCGTCCTTATCCTCTCTAGATATCTAAGTCTCTCCAGTTCAAAAACAACAAACAAATTAAACAAACTTCTGTTGATTCTGAATCCTAATCTAGTTACTCTTGTATTTTTCTCTCTCATACTCATCTAAATATTTCAAAAGAGTGTTCTAAACTTTATGTCTCTACTTCCTCACCTTTTAGTCATTTTTCTGTTTTACCAATAGCATCTTAATTATTCTATTAAAATGTTAAAAGGATCCTGATCTGTTGAAATTATTCTAGCAAAGTCACCAATGATTTTTTATTGCCAAATCCAATGAACAATTTTAGTCTTTATTTTTTTAGTCACTGCTGCTGATAATTCCTTTCTTGATCCTCTATTCTCTTGACTTACATTATGCCAAATTATTCTGATTCCTTAAAGATTGCTTTGGGTTCTGTGTTTTTAGTGTAGTTCCTTCTAAGTAGTCTCTAGTATGATTTTAATTACATTGTTGCATGTAAGAATTCCTTAGAAGAATGTTTTTAAATTTCCAAACAGTAGGTATTTGTTTACTTATTTTGCTGTCCTTTTTTTGTTGTTGGTATCTAGTTTTATTACATTCAAGTCAGAAAATGACCTGTGTATTTTGGAACATGTTGAAGTTTTCCTTTTAGTTAAACTATGATCATATTTTTATCAATGTTTGATGGGCATTTCAAAAAATACATATTCTCTTCTTTGTATGTATATGCATATATGCAGATACATATGAGGTTTGTTAATCATGTTATTCAAATACTGTCTACCATTACTTTTTTGTCTATTTGGTTTTTCAGTTCATGAGAGTTTCATTAAAATCTCCTACACCATTTACTTCAAATATCTTTTTCTGTTCCTATGTTCAATGCATAAATGTTCATTACTGTGATACCTTCTTGGAGAATTGTACCTTTTATTTCTATAAACTATCCCTGTTGTACATTTCCCTCCTTCACTTGAATGTTCCCTCTTTCGCCTTCTTCAAGAGCCATTCTGCAGGGTTCCGGTCTTGCCCCTGCACTCTCGTGTTACCCATATTCCCTGAGGAGGCTCCCGTTCTTGGGTGTCAAATGCCTTACACACACACACACACACACACACACACACACACACACATACTGATATTCAAATTTAAAGCTTGAGTGCAGACATTCACCTGTTTCAGACCCACTGTGCCTGGCTTTCTGATGAGCCTCTCCACCTGGATAATGAGGTCTCAGAGCCCTGAACTCAGTCTGTCCAAAACTGCTCTCACCATTTCACCTGTAAACTTCTCTGGAGCTATCTTCTGGCTCCTTTCATAGCTTCACCATTTACCCAACCATCAGATAAAAACCTTAAGAGTTGAAAAACTTAGGTCTGTTGACTTTTTGGGGCACAAGGAAAAATAATCTGGAGGAAACTGTGATTCATACATTAGGGAGAAATTCCTTTCTTAGTTTTCACAGTAGCTTAAATGAAAGAGTGATGACCACCCTACCTCAGATGGCCACGTAGCCCTCTCTTCCAGATGAAATCAACCTGAGCATTTGAGAATGGGGGTCCTGGCTGAGGCCGCAGTGGTGGAAATCAAAGACCCCAGGATGGCCATCACGAGTTCTGAATCCAGGTTAACTACTAGGTGCTCTTGGGCTATTGGTTTCTGAGATACTCAATTTTTTTTTATCTTGGAATTATTATGAAAATTAAATACGTTTATAAGGATGGAGGGTTTTTTTTTCTTGAGTGTACCAGAAAAATGATTTTCATTCATTCTTTATCTGGTTTCAATGATTTAGAAAGTTAATGAACACATGTACAGACTGACCTGTTCAATACTCAAACACCATCAAGACCATCTTTCTCTGATGTAGCCCTATATCAAAACACAATGGCTGTGGGCCCTTAAAATAATGTCTGCTTTATTTAAAGATATGTGGTCCACCCTCATTTTTCTCTGCCTTTGACAAATCACCTACATTCATTTAACCTTTTTCCTGAGTTTTCACTCTCCACCCCTTTAATCATTTTCACTGCTCTGTCTTGGACCCCCTCCAATTTCTCTGTACCTTTTGGAAAATTAGAATCCCCAAACTGCACATAACACTCTAATAAGGGCCAAGTCAATGCCAAATATAGCTCATGACACTCTTTCTTGTCACTTGAGTGACAGACAACACTGTTAAGACTTCTCAGTAGCTTAACAGTGTTAAAAGACACACATCTACATGGCAGACCCCAAGATCAAACTTCAAGGATGTGATCGGCATGTGCTCGTGGAAGAAACTTAATGCTGTTATTGATCCTCTCTGGAGAATGAGAAGATGTGCCCAGAATTTTTAGAGGATGCAGCCTAATGTGTCTCATGCGTGGACCCAAGGGAGCCATATTCATTCGGGGTTTGGGAGAAAAGTGCAGTGTTTGGATTTCCAGATTTTTGATAATAATAGAGACAATTCTCCTACCATTAGACCCCTACCATTTCAGGGTCATCTTGATATAGTTACACAGACTCTAGTTATTTAGCTTGCGTGATTACTCTAAGTTTCCTTCTTCCACGGAAAGAAAGCATTTAACTTTCTTAGTTTCAGAGCGGAGGGTTCCACAGAGACTAGTGAGAAATAGAATCTGGAGCAGGAGGCAAATTAGTGCTGATAAGTGGCCTGATGGGTGTCCTGGAAAGTCTGAAATATTGGAGGCTCATTACATGGAAGGCAATGTGATTCACTGAGCTATGGAACCAGTGACGTAAGGAAGGAAATTAAACTGGGAGTGGCGGGCAGGGGGAGAGAAGAATTTGGTTCAGAAGATTTTACCAGGGTTAGAAGTTTAGGGACATTTGAGTGAAGATAGAAAGTGATG